GTTCTAAAATGATGTAAAGCTACATACTGTCACCAGTATTCATTTCTATTGATTTTCATTTTAATGACTCTTATCAAGGTGATGGATTCCTTTTTTAGCAACCACAGCTGCCCTAGGCCTCTGGCATTCAGAGAGACAATTCTACCTTACCCTTTTCAGGCAATTTAACAGGAAAGGTTAAGCATCACACCACAGCCACCTCCAGACAGGCAGCTGCCTTCTGAGGCCTGGCAGATGTGCAGCCCCGACTTGGGCCAGCTGCCCCAGGCCTGGCTGCCCACCCTGACGACTGTGCCCATCTTCTGCTTGTCTCTCTTTCTGGAGGCATTGTCCGCCCGTCCTGCTTCCAGCTGCCAGTGTGTAGAGGACGAAGGGACAGCCCCTCTGAGCACATGTGACGGCCCTGCCCGCTCACCAGCCCCACCCGTGGCAGCCCCACAGCCCCTCTGGACGACGCAGGGGGGCTGTCCGCCTGAACTCCAGGCGTCCTGTTGGTGAGTTGTGGGTGGCCCTGGGGCTTTCCCTGTTGGCAAATTTTGGTTTCTTTTTCTTTGTTAACCTGCCTTTTGTTATGGAGCCTCAGCCAAGAACTCAGAAGGGCAGGAGAATTATTTTTTCCTCTTCTACATCAGCCATCCAGACCTGGACGGCTTCAGCCCTTGATTAGTCTCTGCCTTAAATTGGCTCTAAAGTACTTGAAATTCATGCTAAAGACCTTTGCCGGGCTGAGTCCTAATGGATGTGGAGCTTGAGGACGGCTGCGCCCTTGCCCTCATTTTCCTTCTCTGGAAGGTCTGATACCGATGATTAAGAGGCACCCATTTAATCCGCATCTCTCTGTAATGCGATCATTCCTGGGGCGAGAGGGAGGGGGCATCACGTCCAGTCTGGGGCGTCCCTTCTGGGTGGGGAGCACACATCTTCTCCCTGCGGGAACAGAGGAGAAACACAAGGGTCCCCCACATCTGGCTTCTCCAGGAATCTTCTACTTAGGGTGGGAGGCTTCCCAGGACGTGTTCTTGCCTTGACGGAGTGGCCTCTGGGGTGGCATGGCCCAGGCGGGACCCTTCATGCAGCTGAGCCTGCGGATGCCTAGCTTGGGGGAGGGTGCAGATCAAGTCACTTCTCTCACCTGCTCTCCCACATGGTCTTTGGGGGTGTTTTGTGGCCACATATTAAGTGAAGAAAGTCAGTTTAATACCTACTGTTCACGCCTCACATATGAGAAAGAAACATTTGCTCCAAACCTGGGGACAAGCAAAAACCATGACTGATAATCGTTTTTATTAGGCTGCACACTGTGTAGGCGCTTGTGCTAAGGAGCCAAGTGACTCCAGACCTGGGGCCAGGTCATCACCACAGTGCTGGGTCCTGGCCCCTGACGAAGGTGCCATGTGTCACAGCCCTGTGAACTGAACTTTCGGGCCCCTTGCTTCCACCTTCCCAGGTCCCTTGCCAAGTGAACCAGTAAAACTGACACACTCAGGACCGATTTTTGAGGAAGTTTGTTCATTCAGCAATCTGACTCCCCTGCTGAGGGCGTGTATTCCTTTCAGGATACTGGAAAGAAGTCTGAAGACATAGCATTTTCCCTTCAAGAATGAAGGTGGGCATGGAGCAGTCTTGGGGGCTGGGGATGGCTGGAGAGCAGGGGAGAGGTTGCCTGGCCAGGAGGGTGAGGTTCTGGGCTGACCGCTGCCCAGGGAGCGGGCCTGGCTTCGGCCCGGAGCTCTGCTGCGTCAAGCCGCAGGACAGCATCACGCCGTAGCCCCGAGGACAGTTCTCCAGCATCTGCTAAGCCATGGACAGACACGATCACCTGACATTGTTTCTCTCTTCTGCCTCTGAGTTGTGATTCTTGTTCTGGGAATCACCTGTCTTCTTCCCTCTTTGCTCTTCTGTTTAATTAATCATCCTTGTTTATCATGCCACACACATGCACACATACACACACACACCCCAGACATTCTCACACAGACACACACACTCCTGTGCTTGTTTACTGGTTCACTTGGCAAGGGACCTGGGATGGCACATAATGCTGGGGTTCAGAACATGCCACCCCAGAAGATGGCTCTTTGACATACTGGGCATTTGGAGTTGGAGGGATCTGGAGGCAACAGGGACCCTGACCCTCTGAAGAGGCCATGTGGTCTCGGGTGGGCCATCCAGGGAGGACTGGGGTCCTGGCAGCAGACCTCGCGGGGCCGCTCCAGGTCAGTGCCCCTAGCTCACGCCTTTCCACCTGTCACATGTCCCCCTGACTGTCTTCTCATCAGCAAACAGCACACCCAGGCTCATTAGCTTCTTGGGGGGCATTTCATTGATGAGCTTAGATAGGCCTTCAGAGGCTCCCATGCCGTGGAAGACTTTTACTGAGGCAATGGGTATGCTTTTCTCTTTCTCATCCATCTTCATGGTGGTCAGACACAGCTACCCTGGCTGGAGACCTCAAGGCAAAGAGGAGAAGTATTTCCTGCCCTGCAACGCCAGTCCTGTTTCTTATCTTGCCCTGTCCAAAAAATGATTTTCTGGTAAATTAAAGGATAGACACAGTAGGACAGGAAGACAAAACATGCAGATGGAGCAGAGGAGAGGGAAGACGTGGGAGGGAAGGGCGGGAGGAGACCGGAGCCAGGTCCTGCCTGTGGAGGCAGGTCTGGCCTCCTCTGGCATCCGGCATGGCACAGGCCAGACCTGGGCCCAGCCCGGGGGCTCGCCCAGTGCCAGGCAGTGTGCAGGTGGCTGTCCAGGCCACACTGGTGCATGGGGACTCTCCTCTCTCTGCATTTGTTACGGTGGGTTTGGTCTTCAGGTTGGCGCTGGCAGACGTGTGATTCGTTAGGAGTCTGTGCAGTGACCAGGAATGCTTGCGGGTGGTGATGAACACGTTAACATGTATTTTAAATCGCTGGAGTCCCCGGGCTCTCCTGCACTCAGATGCCGTATCACTGTGGACCTTGACTGCAGCTGAGAAAGTGGGACCACACTCACTGGTGGGACTCCAACCGCCCCAAGTCTTCCTTGAGCAGAAATCACCTGGATGACCTGTGTGCAGGCGGCTGAAGGAGCCCACAGGTCATGCCAAGAGCTCAGGCTGCCTGTGTCACTGCAGAACTGTTCCTGAGCAGGGCCAGGGCAGGGGCATCTTCCCGTGATGGGGCATCTGGGAGCAGCAGGTGACAGGCCAGATGCAGGGCCTCATGGAGTCCCGGGGCCTGGCTGGCAGCTGCACCCCCCAAGTGTGCCTGTCTTCCCGCTTTGGGCGCTGTGTCTCTGTTTTCCATACTGGGACCAGACCGCTGGCCGAGGGCCTCTCCAGAGAGCTGCTCTAAGCCTCTGGATCCCTGCTAGACTCTGGCTTTTTCCTTCAGCTCTCTGTCCAGGATGAGAAATACGCCTTCACACCGTCCACGTTGGCTGCCACAGGGCGCAGAGCTCAGCGGCCGGGCGTAGCCAGAGCCGCGCCCCCATTCTCACCTGCCTCCCCATCTGGCCTCCTGGCAGCCGCCTCCTGTGCTGGCGAGCAGCTGGCCTCCTGGTGTCAGGCCCCTTCCCTCACCGCCTTGTCTGCCGCCTACGGGTCAGGACCCTGCCAGGCAGGTGGGTTATTGATGGGGGCGACAACCGGTCACGTGGCCTGCAGCTCCCTCTGGGTTCATAGCTGTTCTGTGCTCCTTACCCACGTGACCTGCGTCTTTATAACCACCGTGTTCAGTGACCCCACGTCATTCCATCAGGTGCATTTATCACCAATTGCTTAATCATTCCTCTACAATAGGACTTTCAGGTTGTTTTTTATTTACTTCAGTGCATTTACAATTGTTTTTGTGTTTTAGGATAGACTTCTTTAATTACTGGGTCAAAAATTTGAATTTTATGAGTTTTGACACGATTGCTAAAGTCCTTTCTCAAATGTTTACAACAATCCTCAGCCACTTTGCTCCTATGGGCTCAGTAAGCAAGCGGATGCATCCCCTTTAGTCACCACCACAGTCGCGGGCAGGCCGCCCTTGACTGAGTTTGTGCCACACGAACGGCCTGTGCCACCTGGGCTGGACGCTCCTGCCCCTGGCCCCCGCACCGGGATGAGGCTGCCCGCACCGCGATGTGCATGTCCCGGGAAGTGTACGTGGGCTTTGGAGCAGCTGAAGATGCCGCTGGGAATATATTTTGGGTTTGACAAAGACACAGGGCTCTTTCTCAAGTGTTATATTTGGGGGGATCGTGTTGGCTACAGGTGGAGCTGTTTGGAATTTTAAAGGGGGACATTTACTATCATAGATGAAGGGGAGGCATTGAATCATATTTGAAGGTGATTTAAACTTTATGGGCTGTCCTTGCTGAGAGTTTGGGAATAACAGGAGTGATGACATACCAGCCAGGTGACCTTGTATCTCTGGATGTTGGGAGGGCACGTCTCTCTCTGAGATGGAACTACAGGACGGGGCATCAGCTAAGCCACCTCAGGGATGTCCTGCAAACCGGCTGCCCTGGACACCTCGCACCGTCTGCACCCTGGGAGGCAGAGAGAGGCCACAGAACTGCTCAGAATAAAGAGAAAAGGGACAAGGGTCATGACAACTCAGAGCAGCCTGCGACCTCTCATGCCACCCGGCAAGGGAAACCTATGAGGGGCACTGCTGGCCCAACGGAGGGCACGTGGCCAAGGGTGCAATTAGCTGTGATGACATCGTCCAGGGTGGCAATTGTGCAGCTGTGAGGATGGCCCTGCTCTGGGGAGGGACCTGCGTTAGGCACGACATGTTCCCAGGAGAGACAACAGGAGCGACAGCAGACTTTTCAAACACGTGAGGGGCTGCAGGCTGCCTCATGTGCTCACACCACTCTGACCCATCACCTGTGTCCGTGGAGCCTCTGCAGACAGAGCAGGAACGACCGGTTTCGGGGTGAACGCTCGCAGCAACCCTGCCGGGGCCCCGGCCACACTTCCAGACCCAAGCGAAGAGGCGGACTCTGGCTAGAGATCCGTCGCGCTACAAATGTGGTAACACCTTTTTTATTTAGAGTAAGATGTGTTAACATCCAGCATGACAGAGTTTGTACAAAGTCCACAATTTAAAAATGAAGTATCATTGCAACTCGTGATTCCACACATTTATAGCAAAATCAAAGTGGCCACAAACCCATGCCGTGTCGTACAAAAATAAATCAAACTCCAGTTCCACAGAGAGCACAGCAAATATTCATACAAAATTCTGTCTTCATAAATGATTACTTAAATTAACTTAGAAATGAATATGAACAATAAGTTATAATAAATAAACTCTGATGACTCACAATAATTCCATATGAAAGGTCAGCATTCTAATATGTGACACTTTTTGTGATCCCTATATAATAGTCACAGATAACTTTTGATCGGATATTATGTACCAACGTTAGATGAGCAGCAGATTTGTGCTTAAAACCCCTTCCCACTGTACGTAGGTGATTACAAAACTGATACTATTACTCTACTAAAAGCATCACTATATTGGTAAAGCAGCAGCAGACACGACGCGGCGGGGAGATGCATATGCCAGTGTGAACGACGGGGCCTGTGAGGAGCTGGGGCCCGGGACAGTATATATGGCATCAGGTGACGGGAAGCACCTTGCTGCAGCTCTCAAAAGGCAATTCTGAGCACGGCCGCTACAGCTCAACGCACGACAGAAAGAGGGCGCTCTCCGGAGAAGGTGCGGCAGAGCCCCTGTGATGACATCGTCTTTCTCCAGCTAGGTATTAAAGTCCTCGTGGAAAACTGTAAGCTTTTGTACAGTGAGCAGTATAAAGTGCCACTGGGATATACATATCTTTATACATATATATACCGAGGTTGAGTATTGTATCAGAATATTTGCTGTGGGGCCCCTGTAGTCTCCCACAGCGACATCATCGGGTCAGCCGTGAGGGCCTCTCTCCTCCAGGGTCAGCGTCCAAGGCGGCTGACACCAGGAATTGCACACCTCCGTGCGGATATATAGAACAAGGTAGTGCAAATAGTCGACTGGCACGTTGTGGGGACAATGACCCTGTAAGTCCTGTTCTGCTAAAAATATTATTTTTATTTTTACAAAACCCATCTTTTTTTTTTTTTCATAACAAAATTTTAAAGTACTTCTGTACTTCCTGCATAACATCAAGACATGGAAGGAAGAGATGCCGTCACATGTAAATCAAGTCAACATCAGAAAACACAACACGTCATCCTAGGGACCACGCGGGAGGGGAGAACGCAGTGGTCAAAGTGGTCTTATGCATACATTAGTGCAGTCGTTGGAGTGAAACGATCAAATCTCCAAGGTATAAACAAGTCTAATATGATCTAGAGTAAAGCAAAAAGTGCTGAAGTATAAGTAATTACTCCTAAAATCTGATTGCATCCATTCTCAGAATAGGTCACGACAAATCAAACAACGAGGGGATGCAAATGCCCTGTGGTCAGCTGGTCTCCAGGGAAGGCGTGACACGTTCTGAGATGCTCTGAACAGGACCGAATGCTTATTCAGGCCGAGGCTGGGGTGGGGGCGGGGAGCGATGCGGCTCAGCGGCCTCCCCCAGTTCAGCAGAAGACTCAGTCCAGTAACTCGAAGACCCTCGTACCATCTGCTGTCACCCCCGAGATGTAAGAGTAACGACAACATGACAGTAATGTTTAGAAGTGGAAGGGGGAAATAAATACTCTTAAATTATCTTTGCGCTTAAATTAAAACCACAGAATCTGTTAGATAAACCACACTGCAATAACAGTCCAGAGGGATGTGAAACTCTTGGGGAGATAAGAGAAGGTTGTTCCAAAGTTTGCTGAAATGGAAAAGGAAATCTCCACGTCGTCCACCTTCACAAGCCCCTGTCTCAACTGATGCTCCCATAGTCATACCATGTAATGCTCAGGAGTTAATTTAAAAGTGCTGTTTAAGCTGCTTTGAATCTTCTGCCAAGTTTCCATGGCTTGATGTTGTCTTACAATAAATCACTTATCTCATTTCTTACAGTTAATCCATATGCCATTTCCTTGGAATGCAAAAAACCTCATTTATTGCCCCCACCATACACCATCCTCCTAAAACAAACAGACAAAAAAATCACATAATATTTCCGAGCATTGTTCAAAAATAAAGCATTTTTTTTTTGCAACCAATTCTTGCTATGAAACAATATGCACACAAAATGTATTTCTTAAATTCCATAAAATCCTCCAACATGAGGCAAAATGATGATGTCTAAAAAGTGGCTGCAGGGCCACCCAGTGATCATTCAAAGCTTTTTTTTTTTTTAAATTTTTGTCCATTTCAGTTCAAAATACTAAAACATTTAATCACTAAAGCATTAAAAAGAATGTACACTCTATTTATTTTGATCGGCTTACCTCTTCAGAAATATATATACCCCCAAATGTGCATACGGCAGCAGCTATAAACATTACATGGCATATCACACTATGTCAGCTTATATGAAAACGTACAAAATGTGAATGTATTCAAAAACTACTCTGCAGGTACTATCTTTAAAGCAAGACATAAAATCATCATGAAGTCTTGTAAGCATAACACTGTTTCAAACAGAAATGAATATATAACACTTTCTGGTAAGTCACAGCAGCAAAGAGTAAGAGGCACCCTTTTTTAAGCAGATCCCATCACTACAGCAGCTGTTCAGACCTGAATTCCTCTCACAGCTTGCTTTATATTTTCCAGTAGGGCTTTATTTTCTGGGCTCTGATAACGATCTTGATTTGTATACATGTCCGTCAAAGTAGTCACGTATGCATCAAAATTTTGTTCATTGATTGGATCCTACGAGATATTAAATAGTAGTTCATACACAGCTTTAATTTTCTTATAGGATATTCACATCAGCATCAAAGCGCATCATCGCACAGGGCCACGTCTTTATCAAGGGGCCGACTCAGAGCATACTTAACGTTAGGGGACACGCTGGCCGGCCCCGCTAGCGCTTCTAGCGGTCAGCGCTACGGTTTGGGCGGTAGCCACTACCATCCGAGAGAGGAGGACCACGACGGTCGCGCTAGAGGACGACACGCAGCGGAGGGTGCGCGGCGGAGGGCCGCCGCCGGCCTCCCGCACTCACCCACTTACCATGTGCGGCAGCTGGATGTTGGCGAGGCTGTGGATGAGGGACTGGCTCAGGCTGGCCAGCTCGTGCAGGAGGGACTCGTTCTGCTGCTCGATCACCTTGTTCTCCTCCTCGATGGTCCTCAGGTTGCTCTCCATGGTGGTGATCTGCAACGCAGACGGGCAACATGTGATAGGAGGCGGGCGGCGCGGCCCATCCACGCCCAGGAGGCGTCCGCCTAACCGGAAAGCAGGCAACGTTAAGAATTTGTCACTTTAAGGGTTGGGATTTTATGCTTTTGGGAGCAGGGAGTGGTGTGACGTGAGATCCTGGGCCGGGCCGGCCGTCAGGCAGTGTGTTTAAAAGAGCAGCTGGTCGGCGGGCAGACGACCACGGGCGGGCCGTTTCCCTTGACTGAGGGTCTCCCTGCTGTCCTGGGGGTACTGCCCATGTACTGGGGGTAGCATTTTGCTGAAGTGCCCTTAGCCCTTCTTTTACAGCCTGAGTCTAATTCTGCCACAGCCAAGTCCTAAAATCCCACTACTTGTGAGGCACTGGGGGACACCCCGTGTGGCCCTGTGGGACGGCCCGACCGGGCTCCCACATCTCCTGGGCTCGTGCCGGGCAGACACTGTCTTCACCCGCAGGAGGCGGTGTCACTGTGTCCCGGGGCGGACCAGGTTCTTCTGTGGCTCCCTGGCCGTTCTTCCTCCGTTTCCTGTTCCTGGGAGAACCCCGGGGCCGCCGTGGCCAGGGGCTGTGGCGTGGCGCCTCGCGGGTCCCACTGTGGCCTGACAGGCATCCCTTCCCCTCAGCCCGATTCACACATGGTGGGGGGGGGTCGCCCCAGCCAGCACGGGTCGCAGGAAGCACGGCAGCCTGGGCAGCTGTGGTCCAGGCGTGGGAAACGAGCGTGTGGCAGGCCCCTGGGGGCGTGGGAGACCCCACTGTCCCCAGACTTGGCTCCCGGGCATCGTAGCCCCTCTGCCCCAGGTCCCAGGCTGCCAGTTTGCAGCCTGAATGCCCCGCATCTCACTCAGGGTCTCTTGCTGGGTCCTACGGGCTGGCCCCGGGCTTTCTCAAGGGCACCGCAGACCACGAGTTGGGGGCTGTGGACTTCTCTCTGCCAGACTGGGCAGCACACTCTGGGCTCTCATCCAGAAAACAGGGAAGAAGTCCTTGCCTCAGGTGCATCTCACGGGAGGGGTGCAGCCTTCGCAGCAAGAACCCACTTGCTCATAGGCATCCGATCCACTCAAGGGGTCCAAACCATAAACCTGGCGAGTGCCTCGGCATGAGAGTGCATGGCGCTGCCGGAAAGCTAACGGGGACGGTGCATCCCTGCTCTAGGGGGGCCGACGTGTGCTTTGTTGTGGGGCTGTGGGTCAGGAGGACCCAGGCCTCCCTCCCATCCACCCCGGGGCACCCATGGGCACCCAGTGCTCCAGAGCACCGAGCCTGCAGGAGGTCCAGGGCAGCTCTGAGGGGGTTGCTCCTAAGGACAAGGCCGGCCCACCCGGGAGGCCCTGGGCCATGCCCCGTGGTCTCACTTGGGGAGGAGGAGTAAGGCTCCCCTGGGCTAACAGTACATCCTCTGTCTAAATACTGGAGGGACAACACGCGCCGTCCAGGCAGGGGGAGGAGCCCTCCCGGGCAGGTGTCTGTGAACAAAATTCGTGAGAGAAACGAATGTAGTCGGGAAATCGCCGACTGGATATTAAAAGTATATGAAATTCTTCACACTGCTCTGACCCTTTGAAAAGGAGAGGCCACTGCACCCTGCTGCTCTGGACGGACCGGGGAGGACCCTGACCTCCTCAGTGTCACAACGAGAGGCTTGGGTCAGGACGGCCACTCACGGGGTTTGATGTGGCAGGTCTATCTCTGCCCAGAACAGACCCTGAGGGCACAGACACAAGAGTGAGGCCACTGGTGTCCAGAGCCCACCTGGGCCTCGCCAAGTGGGGACCCCAGACCCTGGCAGGGCCGCAGGCCAGGAGCTGGCTCCTCATTCTGCGGAACAGTGGGCAGTCAACATTTGTCCCTGACCAGCTCACCAGCTGTTCAACCGGGACATTTCTGGGGGTCTTGTGTGGCCTGGGGAGAGCTAGGCCTTCACTCTGGTCAGACAGGACCAGTGCACGTGATGGGGACCCCTCCCTAGTGCCCTGGTGGGAGCCAGGATGTGAGGGGGGAGAGTCAGCCGCAGGCTTGTGACCTTGGGTGTTTTCCCAGACAGCGCGCCCCGGCCAGAGTCGGGGGAGGCCCCCACGGGGCACGTGAGTAGCAGGCCAGTGTGGCCCTGGAGGGCCAGGTGGGCCACTACTCCTTGGTCCTCAGACACCAGCGAGGCCCAGCCTGGTCTTGCCGAGCCTGTGCTGCCCAAGCTCACCAACCTGAGCTCACCTCCAGCCCCAAGAGCTGCCGAGCTTGGGCCCTGCTCAGCCCATCACTTCCCATCACGGTGAAGATGCCGGGCTTGCCTTCCAGGTGGGAGGGGCCGCCCTGGCCCACGGGGCACGACCCTCTCATCAGCCAGGTCACCGAGAGCGCTCAGTGACCCTCAAGATCAACTTCGCTTTGGATGTAGCCAGACGCCACTGGGAGCAGGCACATCGGGCACCACGCAGCCAGGAGGGCATGGACGGCCGCCGGGCTGCGCAGGGCACCCTGCTCCTGTATTTCTGCTCCAAGTGTCTCAAGCCCCAAGCGAGGCTCAGGTGAGGGAGCTCCATGTCCCCGGCACCCCTGAGTGGGGACAGGGGAGCAGCTGCATCATGGATGCCGTGGGGCAGCCGGTGGGCAGCTCGTGGCACCCGGAACGGCCTGGAGAGCGGGTTTCTGCTGCCGGGAGGGGAGGAGGGCCCCCTGTGTTTGGCGTGTGTCCCGCTGGATGGGGCCCGGCAGGCTGAGGACTGAGCACCCGCAGAGGGGGGTGTCTGGCCCTCAGGCCCACCATGAGCCACGCCCCTCAGGAGTTACTTAGGGTTCCCAGGCTTCCCCTCCTGAGGCAGGCCTCTGCCTCAGACCCAGTCAGCGAGTCACTGCTGAGTGGAGGCCCCGTGGGTGTTCATGTGGCACCAACGCCTCTTCTGGGCCTCGGCCAAGCCAGTAGCTGAGAAGGGGCACCAGTTGGGACAAATGCCTTAAAGGAAAGCCCAACCCTTTCCAGGCGGGCCTTTGGCCAGGCAAGTGTGGTGCCCCCAAAAGCTCAGCAGAGCCTGCGGGAATAGGCTGGCATCAGAGCAGAAGTGGCTGGGTGGAGAGTGCCCACCCCTTAGCCCTCCTCCCTAGACACCTGCGCCTGGGGGGCCCTTTCTGATATTCTGTTGGGTGAGCCCCTGAGTACATGGCACCAGGAGAAGCCGTGTGCCAATGGGCGGGGGGCGGCAGGTGGCAAAGCAGAGCTGCCACCTCTGCCTGGCCTCCTAAGGCTGTGGGCAAGCCCAGGACCCCTCTTAGCCTCTCCTGAGCACTCCCACCCCCCTGACTGCTGTGGAGGGGGACAGGTCCACAGGGATGAGTGGGGGTGGAGCGCCGGTTTTCCCTGAGACAGAGCCACCTTGCCTTACCCGGGGACAATGCAGTGGGCTTCTGCCCCGGTCCCCAGGCCAGGCCTGGGGACCCGGCAGCTCTCAGACTGCCAGCGGGCACCTGGGACACAGAGCAGGGCCACTGGCCTCGGCTTAGCTGGCATGTGTAATGCGGGGGTGGTGACCTACCTTGTGCACTGCAGTGAGCACAGAGGGCATCTGGGGACCATCCCCTCCATGGAGCACCTCATGGTGCTCAGTAAAGGCCCCCTCCCTGTCCCCAGCCCATGGGCCTGGGCATCTGTGCCCGGGGGCCCGGCAGGGTGGCTGTCAGCTCTACTGGATGAGCAGATTAAGTGATATCAGGGCCCAGGGTCCCCAGGCAGCTCATCCCTGCAGGAGCAGGTGACGCTCTGAGATGGCCCATCGCAATGGTGCTTCCTTCAGAACACATGCACAGACAGACAGACAAACGCCCACCGCCACTCTGTCTGGCAAAGGAGCCACTGAAATCATCTCGGCAGGGAACTCAGAGACGAGGAGAGGATGGGGGGATGGTGATGGGAGGGAAGGACGCCACTTCCCGGCCCATCCCTGCTCTAGCTGCTCCTGAGCTCATTCCGTCCCCGTTGCTCTCCAGGCCCTGTCACAGGTCACAGTCACTCCCTGAGCTCTGTCCCCAGGTCACTGGGGTTACAATTGAGGGCTTCAAAAACTGTTACCTGAGTTCTGAGCTTGATCATATCGGCTTCCATCTGGGAATTGGATTCATTTAGCTCCTTGATTTCCTCGTCTAACTGTTTGATTTCTTCATCGTTTTCTATGCCTGTAATGATGAATAAGTGTGTCAGAACCATCTTAATGAAAACCTTAAAGTGAGAATTGTGAGATGCCTTTGTTCTTTTAATGTTTGAGACTAAATTTTTCGGGAAAATACACTCTCAAATTTAAAAAAAAATAGTCACAGTTTTGGTGTCCCTGTGACTCATACCACTGCTCCCCTTACAACGGAGGCACCCACACACCCGGAGACCAGCTGTGTGTGCAGACCCCACCCCACATTAGGGCTCCTGGGTCACCCGTGCCCACCTGAGAGGCGGCCCTCCTGTCTGGCTCGGTCTCTCTGTCTCTGCCTCACCCATTCCCACTCAGGGAAGGTGCCAGGCTCCATGGACACCAAAAGGAGGCCATCAGGGCCTCTGCCCTCACCAAGCTTAGATTTCGGGTCGGAAACCTGATGACAGACATGTAACCTAAACCTGGTGCCGACTGCCTCCTCGAAGCGTCTGACATGGAGAATGAGTGTGGTGACAGACTTCAGGGATGTGGTCACAAAGGCTCTGAATAGCTGACTTTTAGTTAATAAAGTCCTCTGCTTTGAATGATAGGAAATGCATCTCAGCTGATAGAGTTGCCAGGTCGCAAAGCATCACAAACCGGACCTCCAGCAGGTGCCCGCCTCCCACCTGCTCAGGGTCCTGTTGGGGCAGGAGGGGGGCCAAGCTGGGCACCTGAGCCGAATCGCTTTCCGTACAGGGGGCCTTTCAATGCTGGCCCGCTCAGCTGGTCGCTGGCCACGGTGCACAGCCGGGGTCCTGAAGAGCCAGAACTTTCTGGTGGTGGCCCTTGGGGCCATGTGACTAAGTGGACTTAAGGAAGAAGAGCAGAAACCTCGCCCATGCCCTTGTCCTTGGCGGTCCAGAGGGGGTCGCCGTCCCGCTGCCCGTGTGGTGCAGGGGCTGCCGCTCAGAGCCAGGGAGTGTGCACGCAGCCCAGGTCCTGAGGGGAGAGCGGGGCGGATGCCATGTGTGGACGGAGTCCACCCGAGACGGAAGGGGAAGACCACGCAAGACGTGCAGGGACGGGCTTCCCCACGGGGATGCTGAGAAGGCGGGGTCGCCGCAGTGCTGGGGCCGTGGGTGGGGTCGAGAGCTGCGGCCCGGTAGGAGCTCTCTGACGTGACTGCTGTCGCCCACATGCCTTCCTCGTGACAGCAGAGGGACCTGGTCCCGTCCAGTCCGCCCGGCCATCCGGTGCCCTTCCTCCCGGGCCGTTTCTTCCCGTAACTCGGGCTTACGTGGCGCCGCAAACCTCAGGCATGAGCAGAGCCTGGGCGGCAGCCAGACTCTCCCACCCCCTTGGCCGTCGACCTCCGCCGTGGACACACTGTGTGCAGGAAGGCGATCAGTAATGAAAGAACAGTTCCTTCATGTTAAATAGAAATTTTAACTTTTGTTCACCCGTGATAGAGCTAAAAGTGTCAAACAGTAGCCACAGTCACAGCTCGGGGCGGACACCCTGCTGGAGCCTGTGCATGGTGGCGGGGAGCTCCTCTCGGGGGCCGCCTGCTGTGGACCCAGAGCCCAGTGATGAAGGCATTCGATTTGGGGTACTTCTTGAAGAAGGTGAAAGTGCTGTACATGGCCGCCTGCGCCCAGCACCGAGACTCGCCTTTCGGGTGAGAGCGTGTGGCCGGAGGGATGAACAGAGCGGTCCGACTGGACGCCAACTCTGGGAGTTGCTGGGAAGGCGAGTGTTACAGCAGCTCAACGAATCACCCTAATCGGCCGCTCAGGGTCCCTCCGTCAATGGCAGCTGGTACAACGTGAGCATATAAACACCCCAGAACGTCAGCATCTCAGTCTTGGAAACAGAGTCCAAAAAGAGAAAGCTTGGAAGAATTTTGATAAAGTTATGAGCACAGAATGTGGTCTCTGGGATTTGCGGAGAGCCTGGTGTGAATTTCATGGGATCCCCACCAGTTATGTAGCTTTCATGGAATCCCGACATCCAGGCAGGATGGACATAACACACTCAGATTTCCGGCAGGCAGGAGGCCTCTCTGCAGGCCTGGGGACAGGCTGGGGAGTCTGTGGCTATAGCCTGGGTTTTGAAACATGACAGACCTGGAATCTAAATCCAAATCCTGCAGGTTAAGAGTTTTGTGATGGGTAATTTTCTTAATCTCTCTACACTTCAAATTCTTCCGTTATGAAAATGGTCTCTGTCTGACTCAGAGGGAAGAGAGAATTAATCTAACAACCTGCCCCCTACTGAGATGCACCCAATGGTGGCTGAAGAACAAGGTTGGCACTAAGTGTCGCTTCAGACAGCCAGTGCCCCAGAGCATCCGTGCGTGTGCAAGCCGACCCGTGTTGTGAATGAGAAGCAGCACGAACTGATCTTGACCTGCTAGCAAAGTTTTGTCAGTTGACAAATAATTAGAAATAAAACAAAACAGAAAAGGAAAGATGTTGTATGTGGCCTGTGCAGTGGGCTTCAGTTTTATTGAATTAAATAATTTAGAAGCAAAACAAAGCTCCTCTTCACAAGTCTTAGCATTGTCACCTGAAAGTTTTTATTGTGAGTTTAAATAGTTGCCAAATACATATATGTGTGTGTGTATATATGTGTGTATGTACATATATGTGTATATATGCATACACACACATGTACATATATGTTTCTACAAAACTGGGTGCTGCAGGGTGCTCTAAATCTATGTCCACCTAAACCTTGGACAGGAACATTTAGTTTATAAGGAATTTATGAGGAATGCCCACCCTATAGATGGACTGGCAAACCAGTCCACAGGTCAGATAAGCTCTCTGACAGAAGTTAGTTAGATCATTTTAAATCCAGTAAAAATATTAGCAAGGATCCCCATGGCACCTTTATCTCTCATTTTTATCCTGGGAGCGATGGAAGGACGCATGGACGGATGAAGGTCCATGTTCCTGCCTGGATGGGGTGAGAAGCACAGAGCCCGCCATGTTCCTCCTGGAGGCTCTCCGCCTGTGCTCCTGGGACACGCCTGAGCCCAGCACCGTGGGCCACCCCTTAGTGTGGGGCTGCCAAGTCCCCCTGCAGCACCAGGAGCAAACCTCCTGCTGAGAAGGAGGAGAAGGGCGGTGGTGCTGTGGTGGTGGGAAAGCTGGCACAAGACTGGCCGACTCCCAGGCAAGTGGGGTCTGAGGGCCTGAAACGAATCCACACCCACATGTGCTAGGACACCCAGGAGACCCCAGGCACCTGTGTCCTGGAGCGAAGCCTGCTTTCGAAGAGGACAGACCCCGGTGCAAAGACCCTGGGTCCCCGCAGGGCCCACTGGGTGTTCAGGGTAGTGTCTGGGTCCCGGAAGCCTTGGGGTCTGTTCTTGTCGGTGCCTGTGTCTTAGGGTGGCGCCTGGGCCACTGCTGGGCTGAGCCTCACCCTGCAGGTGGCTGGCTTTGCCGTGTGGTACACAGGTGGGCCAGCTCACTCTCGGCGAGCAGGAGCCTGGAGAAGGTGGCCGATAGGAGCAGCGCCTCTCTGTTCGGCAAGCCCAGCTTCTCCCGCAGCCCCTGGCCACAAGGAGAGGAAAATGTGTCCCTGGCATCTCCTCTCCTAGAGGCCAAAATAAAAGATAAAAAGCACAGCCAGGGACAATACCACCCCAGGCAGATATGCTGGCTCAGGTGGCTGGTCTGCAGAGGGCCTGGCCACGGGCAGGCAGCCTCTAGTCACACCAGCTGCTTGGAGAGAGCTGGGCTCCAGCCGGGTGCGTGGGCCTGCTCGGCGAGGTGAGGGCACAGGGCTCATCTCGTGAGGAGGGCGAGAGCTGGCTTCTCCAAGCTCAGAAAGGGTGAAAGGAGAAGGGACTTCGGGGCTGGAGTGCTTTGAGGGCATTTGGAGTAGCTCCTCCCTATGCAGACAGGAGAGGAAAAAGCCTGATCTCAAGACAGGGCTGCCCTGCCTGAGTCAGTTTTGCCGACTTCACGTTGGTCTCATGTGGTCTCAGCCTCCGGTGACCAGGGCACAGGGGGAGGGAAGCTTCCAGACACATTCATCACATGAGAATGTGTGAACGTGACCCTGGTTAGTTTTTACTCAGGATATCCAAGAAGAGAGAGGTTGTCCACGCACGTCGCTAGGGCAGTGCCCGCATCTCGCCCCTGAGGGCAGGGGTGCAGGTCCCTCCTCCGCCCAGGTGTCCTCAGAGCAAGTGCAGGTGAGGCTAATTACCCACATCCTGCGCTGAAGCCTCTCGCTGCAGGAAGCGACCGGGGTACGAAGGTCTCTGGGCTCAGAGCAAACCCGTCTCTGCAGGTGGGAGACAAGAGGTGCCACGTGGGTTGGGAAGGCCTGGGTTTGCCCTGGGTGACCTGGGGCTTCTGAGGGTCCTCATCAGTGGACGTGTGAGTGACAGAACTGGCAGCAGGGAGACCTGCTCCTGTGCAGAAACTCAGACCTGTGCAAATTGCGTCCAGGTGCAGGGAAGTGGGCGCGTGGTGCTGGGTGGGCTGCTGGCCGGGGGGCCTGCGAACTGGTTCCAGTGGGAGGACGCTGGCCGCAGCCTCCGCCAGAGAACCTTTGCCGACCTCTGTGGGCCTTCGCCTCTCCAGGACGGCCCGGCTCTTTCTAATAGATTCGGAAGCGCCCCGGTGAAGGGACGCTGGTGGGGTGGACGCCGGCTCCTGGCCCTGGCGGCTGGCCAGCTGGAGGGCTCCTCCCGTTTCCTTCTTTTCCTTTCCCCACTGGCCTTGTGTCGCACTGCCACTGCCTACACAACTGGCAGGAGCTGACAAAACTCAGATCAACCTGCCTAAGGATTTCTGCTTTAAAACAGGGGTGTTTGGGCCTGAAACGTCACACTAGATATTTTAGAAAGGGCATTGGCAGCGTTTCCTTCCGGCACGAGTCCTGTCCATGTGGTGGAGGGAGGATGGATGCCGATGACCCCGCATCTCAGGCGGCTTCCTCGCGTTGGCCCCAGGGCCCGCCAGGTGGGTGCAGGCCGGCCTGAGGGCTGGAAGCCCAGCTCTGCCGACAGTCCTCTCACCACGTGCCGAGCAGAAGTGGGATGCGGATGCTGGGCCCCTGGAGTCCACAACCCAAGATGCGTGGAGGGCGTCTCGGGTAGGCCGACTGCTGAGTCCCTCGCACTGTCCTCAGGCTGAGAAGTGAGCTGTCGATGACCACTGGACTCTCAGGACCACGGCCCGGGCCCTGGCGTCTCCACGTGGGGGAGCCTGTCAATTCTGTCTTGTTGTCTGTGGGCCCTTGAGGAGGAGGTCCCTTGGATAAGGACACAGTGCAGGAGGGCTGGGCTCTACCCAGGCCAGGTCTGTGGGGCAAGCTGCCCATGGGAGGTCCAGGGACGTTGGCCCAGAAGTGACCTGGTCATGGTGCTTGGCTCCTGGGACAAGACACATCCAGGGACGCGTCTCTCACACTAGCTTCAGGGTGGGTCCTGCGCCATCTGACCTCCTTCCCCGCTGACCCTTCTGAGGGGCTGGAAGGAGGCCGGCCCTGCCGCCGGAGGTGAGCGGTTTGCTCACTGGTTAAAATCACACTTGGTTCTCCTACTCAGAGGTCCACTCTGGGACGTCACTGCCAGCACTGAGCGCTGGGCCCCGTGCGGGTCTCCGGGAGGAAACAGGCCGAGGAGCCCATGAGCCTCGGGCCCCCACACGTCCATGAACTGAGCAATACCTACACTCGCCTGAGGTGTGTTTCTGTGGACAGACCCCTCATTTAAGGTGCATCGTGGACTGAGTAACACTGAACTCACGGCGACAGTGTGAAATGTGTGTCTGGATGGGGCATGTCCGTGCACCCCGGGGGATACACCCTCCTCCCCAGGGGAGCAGCCCGTCCAGTCTGTGCGTGGGGGCCTTTTAAACAGAGAAACCAGTGAAAGGCGCCAAGATGCACGAGGTGCAGCGCTGACCGCCTGTGGAAGGACGCCCATTTGCAGCGTGAGCTGGGGCCACAGGCAGAGCCGTGCGCTGCACACCCTGGCTGGCGCCTCCCTCTCGGCCCGCAGGCCCGGCTCCTGCCCCTCCACTCTGGGTGCCTCCGTGAGGGCCAGGAGAGCCCCAAGCGGACTAATTTGGGGTTTCAAATGCACGTCACAAGAAGGTGGCCCGAGAACCATGAGGGCGCTGTGAAACCTCGCCGTGTGCTCCCCTGGCCTCGACTATTCCCTGGAGCCACCCGGGCCACGCGGTGCCCAGCCGAGAGCACTTGGAGGGATTTGGGTTTGCAGACGGGTCAAGAAAACAGGGCACCGGAAAGCTGAGCACGGGGTGGGGGCGGGGCAGGAGGGCGCTGCGCCTTTGCGGGCTGTGCCTGGGGGACCCCTGATTCTCCTCTATAAGGAGGCTCGGGGAGGAGGGCCCGGGAGCAGAGGCACCACAGGGTGGGGACTGTCATGGGCTCCGGGGAGCAAGGCCCCATTCTGGGTGGTGTCGCTGCTTAAGCAAAGGTGGTGCCTCTGACAGGGGTGAGTGGTGGGGCGGGTTACCGTTGCTGGCCCGCTGTCTGATGGTCAGCATCTGCTCTCCCGACAGCTTCGCCTTCTTCATTGCTGACGTGGCGCGCGGACATCCTGACAGGCTGGGGACAAGACAGGAGATGGCGTTAGTCGAGGGCCTTAGGGGAGCCCCAGACCCACAGAGGAAACGGCCACGAGTGAGGATGTCACTGTGTCATCGTATTAGGCTGGATGCCGGCCAAGGGCCGTCTGCGCAGGGAGCCAGACTGGACGCTGCACATGGGGCAGCTCTGCGCACCCATGGGAGACGTGCCTGTGTGAATTCGTGGGCTGCTGCAGTCTGAGCCTTGAGCACAGGGTGGGCTTCTGGTGGGGCCCACAGCTGGGACTCCAGGTTGGGAGGGAGGCACACCCTTCCCCATATGCCTCCTGGGCTGCTTGGATTTTTACAAAGTGACACCCTGGCTGTAAAAAGCGCCCTTATTATGGGAAGTATCCAATCTATACAGGCGTTGAATTTAAAACAATCCCAACACACAGGAGCAGGAAGAGCCGAACAAGAGGTCATGGCGGCATTCAGTCGCTCCCCGGTGGGTGTGTCTGGAGCGTCCCTGCCCCCAAATGCGTGGCTTGTTCCCGATCTTCCCAGTGGTGTCCTGGCTTTGCTGACCATCTGTCCCCCAGGAGCTGGGCCGTGTCACACCTGCTCCTGGAGGCAGAGCCCTGGCGGCTGTCGTGACAGGGGCCACGTGGGAGGCCTCTGCCCTCGTGGTCGGGGTGAGACGGCAAACTGTACACGTGTGATGTTTTACATACATTATGTCGCATGTGTAGGACATTGTATTTCCCCAGTACAGACAGTGCCAGAGGGGCCCTGTGCTAGCGGTTGGCCTGTATCCACGTCCAGCCAGCACCCAGTGGCGGTGTCCACGGCCCTGTCGCTTGCGGTGTCTACGCAAGGGCGAGATGCTCCCAACCTGGGGCACATCACCTGCACCCATCCGGGCCCAAGGTCAGCGTCCATGGAAACGCCCGGTAAAAGAGGCCATTGGGCCCCCCGTGCATGGAGGCAGGCTTCTCAGGAAACAATCCTTTCCTGGGTGCTCGATGCTGGTGCCCCAGTGCCTGTTCCCTCATCACTGCCATCCAGTGACCAGCCTCATGGAGGTTCCCGGCACAGGCGACCATGGAGGGACCCCAGAAAGTGCTTCTCTGAGAGCCGCCCGGCCTCCCTGAGGGCAGGTCCCAAGGCCTGCGGCACTTCCTGGTGGCCCTCTGTCAAGGCCCATTGCGAGCCCGCCTCTGTGGTCTCTCTTGACTCTCCAGCCTGCCGGCGGCACCCACCTGCGGTCTGCAGACGCCCCAGTGCGGCCCGTGTCTGTCTAGTACCCGGGATCTGGTGCATCTGGCCGCATGCACCCCGCCCCCAAGTCTCCCGTCCTGAAAACGAAGCGTCAGAATCGAGTCGCGGAACCAGGCAGGCTGGGGGTAATGAGGAACGCTCCAGAAGGGTGCTCCCCGAACCCCATCTGCCACAGAGCAGCCTGGATGCCTCGGGAAACGTGACTCCCACCCCGTGGATGTGCAGGCCACACCTGATCTTCTGTCGCTTCCAGTTTTCAGTCAGTGGAATGGCTGGCTGTGAGTGCCACGGAGTGGCGCCACTGAGGAGACTCCCTGGAGCTGGGGGGCTGGACTCGGAGCCAACGCCAGGCCCCCCGGCCATGCGCTTCCTCCCAGGCGTACCCAGCCACAGGTCAGACTGGCAGCACCCATGGGGCCACCCGGTGGCAGCCAGGCTCCCACCTGAGCTGCCTGGAGTCCCCAGGGGACAACCCCAGGCCCGTGTCAGCAGGGGAGGACCCAGGTGGTCGTTAGGGCGGCATCTTCAGTGAGAACCACGCTGCTCCGAGCGTGGACTTGGGAAGCTGCGGTTCTCAGTCCTGGGTCACTCCAGGCAGTGAAGGGTCAATGCGGCTCCCTCCCCCGGCCTGCTGCCAGGAGGTCAGGCACCCGGGGGCCAAGGTGTGAGTGACCAGGACGTGGCCCCAGATGGACCTCCTCGGGGGAACTTACAGCTGGAAGTAGCACAGTAAGCGAACGCTTCTGGGGGAGATGTGTCTAGCTAAAAGGACATGCGGGGTGTTCACCGGGAGGAGAAGAGCAACCCGAGGGCAAGTCACCATGTGTTGTTCAGGGACTTGCCCCCTGCCCGGGGGTGGCTGGAGGGATTTAGGAACAGAGGGCAGGTGGAGGACTTTTCGGGGTTCAGGAACAGCAAACAGCTGGGGCATCAGTTCCCAGCTTGGTGCCTCCCTAAGGATTTCAGAGCTGGGGCTCCGCCACCTCACACACTGACCTTAGCATCAAAGTGGCCTGCGAGCTGTGAGTCCCCACAAAATGCCTGGTGACCGCCAGACAGGAGCAGACACTGGCTGAGCCCTCATGGGTGCCTGGCCCTGGGACCTCACAGGCTTTAAGAGTTCGGGCTCTCCCCCTGATGACTGGACATAAAAATGCTCTTGTTGTGTTAGCAGTTTTTGCTCGCAAGCCGGTCCTTCTGATACAGGGATGGCAGGTCAAGTCTCTCGAGGCAGAGACTGTATTAACATTTTTAGTTCTCCAAGATCCTAGCACAGTGTCCCAAGTAATACACTGCTCGGGCGCCCCCGTGGGGCTCAGCCCCCTCTGTGAGTGGGCGATGCGTCAGGGTGGGGGGGAATTGCCCCAGTGAGCGGGTGACACCGCACAAGCTCATCCTGCCTCGGGAATTGGGCTGCTGCCTTGGACGGACCTCGTGCCTGGCTCCTGAGGGCGCTCTGGTTCCCACGGCCACCCTGGCACTGCCAGCAGGGAAGCAGAACGTCTGTCCTGGCACTGAATTCTGCAGAGACCTGGGACGAGCTTGGAAGGGGCCCATGCGCTCGGGGACACACCTGCAGACACCTGATTTCAGCCTGGGGAGACTGGGCGCAGGGCTTGGCCAGGCTGACTCCCACCCGCAGGATGGAGACGGTGACCGAGAGCCTCTGAAGCTGCCACATTCGGACAGCGGCTGAGAAAACGGACCCAGAGAAGCACGAGAAGCGCGCGGCACTGCCTCCACAGGCTTGGCTCCACACTGCTGGGCTGCCGTCCGGGTTAGGTGGGAGCTGAGGGCAGGAGGCCAGCCCTGGGGATGACGGGGTGCTGGGCGTGGTCTGCTCTGCAAGGGAAGCCCTGCAGCAGCGAGCCTGGCAGGGTTCCCCTGAGGGATGCTCTGCTGCTCAGGCTCAGGGCACACGGACCACTGGCCTCCGGCTTCACGGGGCCTTTGGAACGCAGTCTGAGACAGGTGTTGGATCCGGGTTTTTCTCTTCCAAGTGCTTCTGCGAAACACTTGCATATGGAACACTAAAAGAGTTGGAGCGTCCAAAGCGCTTTCAGGAGGCAGCAGGTAGGCAGGGTGGTGCCTGGGCATTGGCTGAGGGTGCGAGGTGCGGCCTGACCCAGAGGCACATCTGCACCAGGGACCCGGGGCAGCTCGGCTCCAGGGAGCAGTGAGTCAAATCTCCCCGAGGGCTTTCTCGGGTCCTTGTTGGGTCAGGAGGGCCCGCTGTGCCCTGAGGATGAGTGGTGCCCGGGGCAGCTGGGAGGATGTGGGAGCTGACAGCTCCCATGTCTCGGCCTGGCGGTTCATGCGGGGCGTGGGCTGAGTCCCACTCTTTCCTTCTGTGGGTATGCGGAGGCGACATACACAGGCGGCTCCTGTCTGGGCAGGAGGCCTGCAGCCCCGCCCCTCCTATCCCGAGAGGTTTGCAAGTCAGGTGTCACCTTTCCCCTCTGGGGTCTCCCAGCCCACCCCAGAGGACAGCTGTTTGGCAGGCGGGTGCTGCCTGCCTGGCTCCTCTGACAGCAAATCTAGGGCCAGAGAGCAGGCCAAGGACAAAGGCGGACACACTACCCTAAGTGTGCCTGGTTAGATGCGGAGAGCGTGGCCGGCATGGAGTGGGGGTGCAGCCATGTCCCGGGAGCTGGCGTCCAGGCCCCAATTCCGCCTGGGGTCTGGCACTGATGAATAGGTCTCCCACCCCACGTAGCTCACCTATGCGTGCAGTGGGGCCGCCTGGGCAGAGCACAGGAAAATCTCGAGTGTAGGGGACTTTGTCTTGTGTCGTAGAGTGAAGTGTGCTGTTTTCAAAAGCTTTCATAAAACAAATCTGCCACTGGGGCTGTGGGAGCCCAGCCCACTGGCCCTGTTCTCTCCGGCCCCTCAAGGCCGCAGCAGACGTGGGAAGAGAGAACTTAGAGACTGTGGTGGGGGGACGTCGTCCCGTGGGGAAGCCAGTGTCCAGGAGGCAGAAGAGAGGCCTCCCTGGGACACCTTCCTGGGGCAGCATCGCCAGATTCGTCCACAGCCGGGTCACAGTGACTAGGGCGCCCTCCCCAGATCCCCGACGGAGCCTAGTCGGCAGGCCGCGATGACCTTCATCTGTGACTAGCCTGGGGCCCCACGGGCGGCCAGGGAAGAGGCCCCCTGGGCAGGCCTGGGGCAAAGCCCAGCTCTTCTCCCTGGCAGCATGCCTGTGGGAGAGTGACCTGCCTTCCCCTGTCAGCCTTCTCATCCCCGAGGCGGAACTGCAGGCCTCAGGCGCTGCAGGTCAGCGGCCAGCCGTGGGTTCCCCAGGCTGGCGGCCGCTCAGCATCACAGACGGCAGGCTGCGCAGAGCCGCCTCCTCCTCTTGGCCTCCCGACGTCCCTCACCTTAGGGGGTGCAGCATGCTGAGCGACCCATGGGATGTGAGGGGGTGGTCCTGCCCCTCCAGCACGCACCCTGAGTGCCCCCACTCGGCCCCCCACTTTTCTCTCTGTGTGGAAGGACGACTACCCTTGGGAATGGACTGGAGACGTCAGCACCCTGGAGGGCGTGCCTCCGTCGGTTCTGCTATGGGAGCAAGAACTGAATCTCTGCCCGTGGGAGCCAGTTCCAGGTGTGTGTGGCAGGTAGCTTGTCCCAGCCAGTATTTACATTAATGGGGTGATTGATCACAGAAATAATTCACATAGTGGGTGATACAGTGACTTATTTTTACTACAGTTCCCTTGGGAAGCATCAAGGAAAACACACGTTCTAAAACAAGGCTGTCACCCCATTTATAAAGGACTGCAGGTCATACAGTCTAGGTGGAAAAGGTTTAAGAGTGTCTAGGACATGGTTTTTTTAAAGATATTCATTTGGCCAAGCCCAGTGAAAGATGATAGGAGTTATTTGTAAGATTTCTTACTTATTTCTCAGGGTTAGAATCAGTGACTTTAATTCTGGAGATCCCTCCTATCTTACTTAAAGTGGGTGGGAGGGAGATGGTGCCCAAGTAGTGTGTCCAGAGCCCTGGCAGAGCAGCCGTGCCATCCCCACCCTACCCTAGCCTGTGTCTGTCCCCTACAACCCATACGGCACCCTCACAATCCCACCCAGGCTGGGGAGGGCCCCCCAGCTCCCATGGGCACCCCAACACCCTGGCAGGGATCCCAGCCCTTGGCCCCACTTGCACACCTGTTGAGGCCGTCCTGTCTCTCTGAGGTCCTGGGGCCCCGTGGTTGACATCTAGTGGACACACAGCTGCTTCCTATCTTAAACAGAGCATTGATGGGCTTAAAAAATGATGCATGCAAACATTTCTCAAATGCTGACTTATGAGGTGCAAGGAGGTGCTGTGGATTGTGGGGGGATGAATGGTTTAGGGCAGGACGGACATTGTGGTCATTCAGTGGGCATGAAGGGAGGGGCCGTGCTGCTGGAGGGAGTAGCCAGAGCTGTCTCACCAAGTGGATAAATGGGGTCAGAGCCAAGAAGAGGCGGCATGGGGCAGGGTAGGGCACAGGACTGAGGACAGTGCAGGGAGAACCCTGGCTGTCCTTTCAAACCATGGGACCTGGAGCAGTCACTTAACTTTGCTTCAACGTCTAGCCTTTGAGATGGTACCTACTCATGGGGCTGGTACAAAGATGAAGAGTGTAACTACAGGAAGGCACTTAGAACCCTGCTCGGCGCACAGTAGGGCCATGCTGCATCAGCTGACGTTCTCTGAAGGGTGGGAAGGCATTTATGGGGCAGATGGGAGATGGAGGGGATGGTACTCCAGGTGATGGGGAGGCGCAGGGGTGGGAACACTAAGGCGTAGGGACCCTGCAGGGAGAGGCAGGGCGGGGCCAGGAAAACCACGGTGCAGGTGGGATTCCATGGTCACCTCCGACAGCCTGCCCCTCCCGGCCTCTCGGTCCTTCCCTGCCCTCCGTGACCCCTCTCCCACCTGTGCACCTGTGTCCTCCAGCTGCTGCAAGCGATGTCTGTGAGCGGGTGACGGGTGGGGATTCCCCTCCCGAGGACCTCTGCTTGCCCCCACTCATCTCACTCAGCACCGGCCCCCTTTCCTGGCCCCTTCCCCACTACTCCCAGGCCTGCCCAGATGCCTTCAGTTGTCTCCAGGTCTCTGCCCTTCAGGTGGCAAGCACCCCGGCCTCTCCTCGCGTAAAGTCCTCCTGCCCTCGGGGACTCACAGCACATGCA